CACAACCTCATCTAGAAAGATCTGCTTCTGCTCCTACTTGAATACTTTAGGTTTACCCAGTCCTTTCCATTTTAAACAGACTTATAAGCTCTGCTGAACACCTAACTCCCAAGTGACCAATAGGGACTAACAGCAGATATAAATGGGCACTGTCAGCACTACTTCATAAGAGAGGTCTGTTCAAGAGCCAAAATCTAACTTGTGTCAGCCCCAGAAAACTGATAGTCAGACCACAGTAACTGGGCTGCTGGGTTCAGCCTCTTCAGTGTATCTCCCTTTTTCCAAGAGTACATTTTTCTTAAATGTAATATTCAGCACTCAGCGGTGCAAAAAATTGTAAAGTCATCAAAATTTCTTCCTCTTGCCCACTGAAATATCTCTTTATAGCTTCATATTGTGTGTTTTCCCATCTTTTTGGAGGCTGCCCCTAGGCTGTACCACTCCCCTATGTTATTGAAATTTACCTCTTGACCTCTTACCAGGTCTTGGGCCCTCCTTTTTCCAGGGGCCTGAATGGGAGTGGGCCCCAGCAGTTGTGACCCTGGGACTGAGTGTCAAGGCATGCTTTCAGATTGTGCTGTTTTAAACAGCAGAGTGTCACTGTACCATACAGTTCTTCAATGGGACAATTTTTTTCTGCTTAGGATTTGTTTATTCAGTCATTTTTGTGGCCCCAAGTAGGAGGAGGAAAAATTAAGATACAAGTATAATTTAAGTTATAGTCCTTTACAGGCCTATAATTTTACTTGTATATAGTATATAATATTTAACAATAATTTATATTATTTTATAACGTATAATATAATAATTACATCTAAATCATATTATCGGATTTATGTGCAACATAAATAAACTTGAGATACAGATGATTAAATCCTTGCTCCACTGAATTTGCTTTATTTTTCCTTTGAGTGCAATGGGCCAGAGGTTTTAACCCAAGCATTTTCTTCTATTGTTTAGAAGTTACTCTGGGGAGCCAATTGCTGTAAGTTGCTGCTATCCCTCCTGCAGGTGCATGTCCATAAAGCAGAGGATGCAATCCTAAAAGTCAGGAGTTTGTCGGGGCTTTCCCTCAGATCAGGTCTAAGAGCATCTTTGGGGTCACCTTGCTGCACAAGGATTGCTGTGACAGAATCTGGGCACTGGCCCCACTGGCATGGGAGCAGCCAGCTGCCCCTTCCCCTGCTCACCAAACCAAGTAGGTGCTTCTAACCATGTGGATTGCTTCTGAAAAAAGGTCCCCACAGGGTGTTGTGAGAACTTATTAAGTAGTTT